GAAGAAGAAGAAGAAGAAAGGGGGAGGAAGAAGAAGAAGAAGAAGAAGAAGAAGAAGAAGAAGAAGAAGAAGAAGAAGAAGAAGAAGAAGAAGAAGAAGAAGAAGAAGAAGAAGAAGAAGAAAAAAGAGGAAGAAGAAGAGGAAGAAGAAGAAAAAAGAGGAAGAAGAAGAACATGAAGCATAAGAAGAACAAGGATGAAGAATAACATGAAGAGGAAGAAGAACAAGGATGAAGAATAACATGAAGAGGAAGAAGAAAAATAAGAAGAACAATGATGAAGAAAAAAAAGAGGCAAGAAGATGCATAAGAGGAAGACGAAGACGAGGTGAAAGACGAAGAGGAGGAGGAGGACGAAGAGGAGGAGAAAGAAGATGAGGTTGACGAAGAGGAGGAGGGGAAAGTAGAGGAAGAGAAAGAGGATGAAGAGTAAGAAGTGGAAGATGGAGAAGAAGAATACGAGGAATAAGAGGAGGAGAAGAAACAGGAATAAGCATGGAGAAGAAGCAGGAGGATGATGAAGAAAAAGAAGAAGAAGAAGAAACAGGGGGAAAAAGACGAAGAAGAAGAAAACACATGACTGTGAGGGAGGGTTTGTGAAGAAAAAATAGAGCGGTGTGAGGGGCTTGTGTAAATGTAATTACGTACTTATTATTTAGGTGGTATTAAATTGATATACAATTGGTATTTGAAATAGCCATCCCATTTTGTTAATTTTTTATTATTTATTATTTAACATATAATTTATATATTGACCCTCGGTGTGTGTATATATACCGATTGTAGGATGAAAAATATATGTTGCAATAAAATACGGTAATAACAGCGTAATTTGAATTTCATATATATATTTCAGTTTTATTTGATGGATTTTTTTATTACAATTTGTACTATTATTTATTTAAACAATTACTTTTTTTCTTTTTTTGAACGCGACCCCGTGCAACGCACGGGCACGATTACTAGTATTGTATAAAATAATATTATTCTACCTAGTTTTGAGATTAATTATAATTGAGTTTTAATTACGAATTGAAACTTTCGAAACATTATATTTAATTACGATATGATCGGATCAATTTCAACTTATGGCCCATTAAGTAGGTCTAGCCCAAAAAGGCCCTTATGATGCGAAACTCGTATGAAGTGGTCGCCTTTAATATTCCACGGAACTAGGCGTTTGACAGTCAAGTCCCACAAGCGAGCCAGAAAATAACTTTCGTAGCGAGAGGATGATCGACTACAAGCTAGCGCGAATTCAGCCTCTAATGCACGTGACAATATTTAATGCACGTACAATCAACTACACGTAACTTGAAGGGATATAGTAAATGTAATTAAAGGATAATTTAAAATCCGAAGATATTTTACTCGGATGATTAGAAATGAAGAAAGGTTGACATCCATTCAATCCCCTATAAATACAAAGACACTACAAACCATGCAAGGTGAGACCAAAAAAAATAAACCCTAACATTTTACTACTTAAGAGAGAATCTCATGTTAGAAAAATCACTGACTTGATCGTCGGAGTGCTAACATCGATCTATGTCCGGATTTTACCTTTCTTTTGCAAATCCACACAACAAAAATCACAACACAACAAAAATCACAACCCAGAGCAGATCAAGGATTTAGCCTAATCACAATATAAATTACGATACAAGATCACAACTCAAATAAAAAGATACAAATCCCATCAAAAAATAAGTCAACAACATTTAGTGATCCTAATAATTAATTAATTTGCTAACTTTATCATAAATTTCTTATTTATGTCTCTTAAGTCTTGTCTTTATATATAGTTGGAGTGACGTTCCAATTATAAACAAACATAAGCTATTGCATGCAAGTATATACCTAAAATATTCTACACGTAAGTTTAGTGCTGGACCGCAAACTAGGAAAGCCAACCGGTCTTTATTGCATGCAAGTACTTAAGTCCACTTTTGAAAAATTTGCCCTACCATGTATTTTTCATTTTTCACCTTCCCAATAATTCAAATTTAAATTTGCCGTACTAATAAAAGCTCAATTTCAATAAATTCAAAAAGATTGTTATTTAATCAGATCTACGATTAAATTTACCTAATACTATAAATAACTAGATGTAGTATTCAGCCCGATAAAAAAACATTGTATTAATTGCTAATGCTAACCAAACATGGCATAAGGGCCCGTTTGGTTTGTCCAGTTTAAAATAAAATCTTGTTCTAGCACTCGATTTCCAAGAAGTTCTTGGATTTATGCAAAATTACCTTGGGAAGGGTTTGTCTAGATATTTTTTTTCTTTTTACCCCTTTTTTCCTTTTTAAATTAACAAACGGGCCCTCATATTTTTATAATCCTGATTTTCACCGCGTATATCCTGAGTTTAATTGGAGTGACGTCATATTCCCGTCACTTTCGTTCTTTTTATAGAAATAATATAGAGGAAAAAGCTTTATTCGTGCCAAATCCATAACCAACAAAAAGATCATCTCAGCATCTTCGAATCTCCAGAGGCATCTCCTTTTCCCCCAATTTCCTACATATTTTCAATCGAACATATCCCTAATTTTCCTCGTCTATGAAAGATCAATTAAAAAACCTAAGAACAATTGCACATTGCAGGTTGTTTTTTTTTTTAATTATTATTTTTGATTGCGCCATTAATTGGCGGTGGTTTGATTTTTCCTAATTTTTTAATTCTTCCCTCTCCCATTCTCTAGTTAAATCCGCCGAAAGGACAAAGAAGAATTCTTCAAACGAATCCATTCAAGCTGATACATGCAGCTTGAATAATCACAAATTTTTTTATCCTTTCGTGGCGGCGCGCGTGCTCCTTTGCAATTCAGGTATTCTATTTTTTTTTTTTAATTTTTTTTTACCTACCATTAATTATAGTCAGCCATTTCTTACGTAGGAGCAGGGGATAAGGTTAGGTTGCTCAATTTTATGGTTCAATTGAATTGAATTTATATAATTTCTTCATCAATTGTTTATTTGCTGTGTTGTTTTAGTTTTTGCTAATTTTTGTGTTCTGATGGTTTGGGTTTAGGTTACAGAATGGATAGGAATGAAGGGAATTCCGATGTGGTGAAATCTACGGGTGGATCGAACGAGAACGAGACGTTGTTGTGTGATTCGCCGGGTGATGGGAAAGGGAAGAGATTGTGGAAGAAAGTGAAGTACCAGCTTGTGGAGTACCACTCATTGCCTGCATATTTGAAGGACAATGAGTATATTCTTGGTCATTACAGAGCCGAATGGCCTCTGAAGCAGGTCTTGCTCAGCGTTTTCACCATTCACAACGAGACCCTCAATGTTTGGACGTAAGAATTTTCGTCCCCTGCTTTTTTCAAAACCATTAATACAATTGTAGTTGATTAGTTGTATTGTGTCTTCTTTTTTGTGATGATGAAGATTGTGTTATTTCTTGGTCATTTTCAAGCTTTTCTTGCTTTTTCATTGGCTGTGTTGTGTGATTGACTGTGAATTATTGTAGCTCTGAACTCGAACGAGTAGCAGAATCATTTTAGTTGGTCTACATATTATTGTAAAAAGATGGTATCAGCAAATCGTTATATGGAAATTAAGAAAACGTAGTGGTTAAGTTTCGCTCAAAATTCTTGCATCCAAAAGCAACTTTAAGTGTTTTAAGGGAGAAGGTTAATGGAATCTGTGATTTATTGCATAAATGTGATTTAGTTTCTCAATATGGTTAGATCGATATATTATCGAACTTTACCAACAACGATACGTTACCTTTCTTCTACGCAGGCACTTGATCGGGTTCTTCCTTTTCCTATCTCTTACCATTTACACTGCCACAAAGGTTCCGTATGTACAAAATTCAGTTATGAAAACAGCCGATTACCAGAAACTGCACGCCGAACTTATGACTTGTCTCCCATCATTACCACACATGCCTGATATGCAGAGACTTCGAGAGGAGTTAAAAACTTCAATCGATTTGCTACCGTCATTGTCGAATTGGCATATTATGGAACTCCTCTCAAATTGTATACCAGAGTCTCTTTCCCACAGCAACCACACAGATATTTGTGTTCTGGTACTCTTTTACTTCATTTATGCTCTTTCATCTTAATTGAAAATTCAATTTATAATTTCGTAATCTGCGAATCGTAAATTTTCATTGCATGTGGGGTACAATTGAAAGTTGGATGATCTGATTTGGTAGTTTGTTTTAGAATAAACTGAATCTTCCCGAACAGCTTTATTGCATATTTTTATCTCATAGTATGGTCATGATGGTGCAGCAATTGGATAATATTGTTGAATCGAAAGCTATGTCATAGTATTTCATAGACATAGGTTATGTTTAGGTACTATTGATGCAAGACAAATCGAGGCCTATATTTCTGCTCTAATCTCTCTCACTCGGCACTTGTTCTAACACACACACACACACACACACACACACACACACACACACACACACACACACACACACACACACAGCAGAAACTTCGGATCTTGCGGTAGAAAATTAGAAATAAGGTCAATACAAGTTTCTTGCATCTACTGTTAATACATGCAACACTGCTTTTTTTCAGGTAATGTAATTAATCACACTCTGTTTTACATCATTTTCACATAAAACAGAATGTGAATTCTTCCAATGTAAACTCGTGTTATCATTCATTGACACGATTAGCATTGTTCAATCATTTTCTTTTGCAGCGTAGTATGATATTCATTGACACGATTAGCATTGTTCAATCATTTTCTTTTGCAGCGTAGTATGAAAGAGGATGTGGCGAACATAATAGCCCCACTACTGGTTCGGCCAATCACACGTTGGCCATTCTTTGCATTCTTATGTGGGGCCATGTTCTGCCTATTATCGAGCAGCACATGCCACCTCCTCTCTTGCCACTCCGAACGCCTCTCCTACATCATGCTCCGCCTCGATTACGCCGGCATCGCCGCCCTAATCTCCACCTCATTCTACCCACCAGTCTACTACTCCTTCATGTGCTACCCTTTCTTCTGCAACCTCTACATGGGCTTCATCACCCTATTAGGAATCGGCACAATCTTGGCCTCACTCCTCCCCGTTTTCCAAACGCCCCAGTATCGTAATTTTCGGGCCGGGCTCTTTTTTGGGATGGGATTCTCCGGTGCGGCGCCTATCTTGCATAAGCTTATCCTGTTCTGGCACCAGCCGGAGGCGCTGCATACTACCGGGTACGAAGTTTTAATGGGGGTTTTTTACGGTGTGGGTGCGCTGGTGTATGCTATGCGGATCCCGGAGAAGTGGAGTCCCGGGAAGTTCGATATTGCGGGCCATAGTCATCAGCTTTTTCATGTGCTTGTTGTGGCCGGAGCTTATACGCATTATCAGGCCGGGCTGGTTTATCTCCGGTGGAGAGATGTGCAGGGGTGTTGAGAGGTTTTTATTTTTCGGAGTTTGGTGTCTTGTAATAATTGCCAGGATTTGGTTTGTTTTTGGAGGGGAATATTGATGGCATCTTTTGTTAATGTCTTGTGTAGCTACTTATGTGAGAGAGAGCATTTGAAGTATGCCTCTCCTGTGGTATTAAGTGCTTTTACATTTTCTGGATGAAATAAAAGCAACTGTTAAACTGTAAATTGTATTTTCAAAAAATTGCTGTTTGAAATAATTTGAAGAAAATTATAATTTGTTTGAATATAAAAATGTGTGTTTTGAAATATTAAAGTGGAATAACAATGGAAATGAAAGACTGAAATAATTCCGGAAAACACTAAAATAATAAATAAAACTGAATTAAAGTAATTAATTTAATAATTCCAGAATACACTAAAATCCAAAATAAAAAAAATAATTTACCCAGTAGTTGCTCTCATTGAGAGTTGAACTCAAGACCTCCCGCTTACTAAACGGGTGCTCTAACCAACTGAGCTATGAGAGCTTGTTGAGACTATTCAGATTATTATTTATAATAATGTCAGTGAAACAATTAAGATAATATTTGTATATATTTAAATACATTTTTTCTTGTCTGCTATTAATATTTTTATATTTGAATTAAATTTGGAATATCCTAATAAAATCTTTGGATTAGCGGGGAATTAATATGTTAAGAGTAGCTGGACAAAAATTAGTAGTGCATAACAATTTTAATTTGTGTTAATGATTGGTAGTTAAGAGACATATCTTATTTGTCTCGTCCTTATATTCTTTTATTCGGAAAAAAACAGACATACTAAATATAATATTAAGTAGAAAAATAAAATAAAAACAAAACAGCTCAACATCAAAGCATTATTTTGATTAAAATAAAATATCGGCCAGAGCAACAGCATCAATGTCATTTTATATTTCCCATACTAAATATTTTCACTCCTTGTAATAATTTATTGGTTAAACCACGTTGCCTTCAGTACTACAGAGTCAATACAGGTTTGACTAAACGTCAACTGTTATTCTGAGTAGTAATTAACAAGCTTCAAAGTCGGATTAATTAATTAATTAATCTTTTCCAGTTTGTTGACAAACACAATAATCCAAATTAAATCAGGTGAAACTGGGAAACGACGTCGTGCAATCTAGTAATTTTGAAGTTAAATCGCACCCAAACCCAAGTTTTTTTTTTTTTGACGACAAAAAAAAAAAGTAAGTGACCACCTATATCTTTGTCAAGAATCTTTTTCAAATTTAATTAGTATGAAATTATTACATATTCGCGGTTTAATTCCACTTGGCACCTTTGCATTGGTGCATTTTAGCACTTTGCACCATTGAAAAAAATAAATAGCACTTTCAACTTTGCACCTTCAAAATACAATACATTCATAATGCATTTTGAGTTAAAATATTTAAAACTTACTAAGCGAACTATTCTTTATTGTTTTTTTTTTCCATAGATTGTTATTTTTTTCAACATCCAACCTAATTTCGAGTATATAAAGTGCGAAAAAGTAAAAATCACACCGAACTACTGAAAAAAATGATATTTTATTACAAAATAAAATAAAATAGACTTTTATCAATATATTATTCGGTTGATGGTTCTTTTATTATAATTGGTGAAAATATTTGATAGAAATTTTTGGAAATAAATATATTTTTCGAATAACTTGATAAAAAAAAAGGAAAAAGTGAAGAATATATTGTTAATATTTGTTGCCATGAAAAATAATAGTAGATTAAGTGCAGTATATGAATTATATTTATGAAAACGAAAAAAAAAAGGTTGACCTTGGAGTAGTGTGATAAAAAAAATATATTGGGGAATAATTAGATGAATTGGTGGACAGGTTGAGGGTATTTAAACACTAAATAAGTTAATAATATAATTTCAAGGCAACCATTAGTAATTTTAATAACTCCAAAAAAAAAAATCACGGAGAAAAACCTTTACATTAAATCCAAAGGTCATGAATTTTAATGTTTTTGGTATTTGAATAACACATTTTATTTTATTCAAAGCAAATCATTATATTATGGGGCAAATTACGGCTAATTCTGAGATATGGTCAAATTATGAAAAAAAATCCGATTGTTGAGGTAATTACAGCCACTCCCCTCTTTTTAAACATATTTACATAAAATTTATGTAATTCAGTTATTTTCCCGAACAAAATCGTAATATTCAGTTTTGTAAACGGTATGAACTGTTAGAGTACCGAAATTTCGGTTGGGCTTTTTCGTAAGATAATACATAGTTGAGAGATGTGACTGTAATTACCCAAACACGAGAAGATTTTCATAATTTGACTATAATTCAGAAAGGTGGCCGTAATTTATACTTATGTTTATTAATCTATGGCCAAAATCCACGACCTCAAACGTGGTATGTCACTTATTTTTGGTTGTTACTTGTAATAATAACAAATGGTATTAGCAAATTGCCAAATAATGACACAAATTGTAGTATAAAAGGAAAGTGAACCAAAATGAAACAAAGAAAAAAGAAATGGGGTCAAAATGAGAGATAGACATTTTTAGATCGTCTATTCTCCGTTGATTATATTAATACTAATTAATTGATTATTATGAAGTGTTAGCTTAATTAATCAGCAGTTTGGCAACTCCTAATCCTATATAAAACCTTAATTAGGGAGTAATATCAATTTGCATTGTCGGTGCTGCAAAAACCTAATTTGACAATAAATTCTCCTCAGCCACAAACATAAATCTCCGGCCCCATAACTCTGCTGCTCCTCCTCCCCACCACCATAAAACCACACCCAACCACCACCATTCCGCGGTGGTTGTTATATATTGGAAACCACCGCCGCTGTAATTTATAATTATTTTTTTCCAAAGTTTATTTCGTCACTCTCCAGTCTTATCTTTTTATTTTCTCAGGCCACCGTCAAAAAATCTTGGGGTAGGGATTTTCTTCTGCAAAATGACGCATTAACTCCTAAGAAAAAATCCAGGTGGCGATGCGGTTGCGCTACCCGACGAAACTCACCGTGACGGAGAATTAATTGCTGCTGTTTTTTTTTTTTTTTTTTTTCCTTGATTTATATATATAATGAAATCCTCGGAGTTATCACCTTTCCAAAGTATTGCAATGGCTAAGCACAATGGTCGGAGCAAAGCGGCTTCTTTTCTCTCCGACGGGTTTCTCTTTGTCGCCGGAGCTATGGTGGCGTTCTTCTTTGTTTGGGCCTTCTGGTCTTTCTTCGCCCCGGATCCGTCTCCGGCTTTTACCACTTCACCTCTTTCCGGCATGAAACATGGTTCAGACAACACTCCGTCGCTGAACTGCGGCGGCGGCGGAGTCGGGTCGGGGCCTAACTTGAGGCAGGACCCGCCGGAGCAGACATTCTACGACGACCCGGAGCTCAAGTACACAATCGACGCGCCGGCGGTGCAGGACTGGGACGGGAAGAGGAGGGAGTGGCTGAAGCAGCACCCGACCTTCGCCGCCGGAGCGGAGGACCGGATTTTCATGGTGACGGGATCTCAGGCGACGCCGTGCAAGAACCCCATCGGCGACTACCTGCTGCTGAAGCTGTTCAAGAACAAGGTGGACTACTGCCGCCGCCACGGCATCGACATCTTCTACAACAACGTCCTCCTCCAGCCGAAGATGTTCTCCTTCTGGGCCAAAACCCCCACCGTGAAGGCGGCGATGCTGGCCCACCCGGAGGCGGAGTGGATCTGGTGGGTCGACTCCGACGCGGCGTTCACCGACATGGACTTCCTCCCGCCGATGGACCGCTACAGAAACCACAACCTCGTCGTCCACGGCTGGCCCCCACCTCGTCGAGAAGCAGAGCTGGACCAGCGTCAACGCCGGCGTTTTCCTGATCCGCAACTGCCAGTGGGCCATGGATTTCATTGACACGTGGGCCACCATGGGCCCACAGTCTCCCGAATACGACAAATGGGGCGAGATTCTGAGCGCTACGTTCAAAGATAAGATCTTCCCGGAATCCGACGATCAATCGGGCCTGGTTTATTTACTTCTTAAAGAAAAGGAAAAATGGGGGAATAAAATCTACGTGGAGAGCGAATATTACTTCGAGGGGTATTGGATGGAAATTATCGGCACTTTCGATAACATCACCGAGAGGTACACCGAGACTGAGAAGCCGGCGGCGGCGGCGGCGCTGAGGCGGCGGCACGGGGAGAAAGTGAGCGAGGGTTATGCTACGGTGTGGGAGGACTACCTTAAGGAAGCTGGGCAAGGGAGGGGGAGCTGGCGGAGGCCGTTCATCACTCACTTCACGGGTTGCCAGCCGTGCAGTGGGGCCCACAACCAGATGTACTCTGGTCAAACTTGCGTCGATGCGATGCAGAGGGCTTTGACTTTCGCTGATAATCAGGTGCTCAGGAATTATGGGTTCGTGCACCCGGATATAGGTGATCCCACCACTGTTAATCCTATTCCCTTTGATTATCCTGCTTCAAATTAGATATATATCTAGCTTTTAATTATTATTTTTTTTATGTGAGGAAAATGTAATATATATAGTATGTAATTGTGTGCGAACGTATACGTATATAAGGTTTTTTTTATTTACTATCTACGGTGCTTTGTTTTTTGAATTGGTGATTATTTATTTATTTTTAGTAAAAATAAAATAAAATGTTAAGAGAATGTTTTAGAGTAAGATACTCTTGTTTAATCAAAGACACTCAGCAATTTAATTGGGGGCTTTTTAATGAGGCCTGAAGGATTTAATTGGGTCTCATGGAAAATCAAGCCCAATTATGTCAATTATATAATTAACAATTTAAATTTTTAAGTCAATAGTAATATTTATTTTTTTGTTGGGGAGAATCACATGATCATATAAAAGACAAAAGAAAACAAAGAATGGACTGCTTTTCATTTTGTATCAGTCTTTAATCATCATGCATGCCAAAAGCCTGTAAATTTTAATCATAATGATTGTTTTAATTTGTCGACGGTGTAAAAATTGCATGATTAGTGGATAATGCAGACACGAACTTCATGTGTGCAATTTATGCTTCTTCTTCTTTTATTTTTTTTTTAATTACTTTTTCTAGACATTGTTGGTCAAAGTAAGATTAATCACATTTTGACCAAATTATCAAAAAAAAAAAAAAATCACATTTTGACCAAATTGACTCAATTAATGCGAGGCAGACCGTTATATTTTCACTTGCTTAATGCAGAATTATTAAATATCTTACAACATAGATGACAATCTTGATACTTGTTTATTTGCTAAAAATGGGGAAATTAATCAACTATGACAATCTCTATATTTTCCTTAATTAGTTTCAAATATTGATTATCTGTTTAATCGAAAATTATGCCACTAAATCCCACAAAAAGAAAGGTTCAAACAGATTGCCCTAATTTGTGGGCAGGCATTATTATCAACTCTTTAGAAAAGAGAAAAAGAAGAGAAAAAGAAAAAGTGTAATTAAAGTTGCCTGCAATTAAGGGGATTGCCAAACTATTGAGCTTTCTGCATTTGGGCCCTTTATTCAATACACAAGTTTCTGCCTATTATCCTAAAACGAATAGAGTCGAACTGAATGTACGATTACGACAATCTAAGTCTAATTATCGATCCAATCGAGCTACAACGCGTTTCGATCGAGATGGTGTGAATTGGTTCAAGTTTATTCATTTTGTGATACACCCTTTTTTTTTGTTCTGTTCTAATATTCGAGTCGAGCTAAAGCCAAATTTCATATTGTATATCAAACGTAATGTTTGTTCAAAATTAATTTTATTAGGCTAACAAATTGAGGTTAAGTGGGAATTTAAAGATCGGCAACGGTTAATTGAGTATTAATTAAATAGCTTAATTTGACTTGCGAGCTCTACGCAGTTAGAATTATAACAATACTGCACTTGGTGGATTTCATTTGATAACATCTGACCATATATTTATTAATAATTAATTAATTAATTATCTATTATTGGTGTTTAGCTAATTGACTTAAGCATAACAGTGGGAATTAAATTGATGAAATAAAAGTCCTTGATCTTTACAAGGCAAATAAAATTTACGAAATAATCTTCTCATTCTTCATCATTTTCACGGTTCTTATGTGAGTGATGATTGGTCAATGGTCAATGGTCAGTCCCTGGTTAAATATTACCCTGATTACTAGCTAATCCACTCTAAATTAGGGTTGTGAATGGGTCAAGTCGAGTTATTATCGGCCAATTATTTACCCGATTCGACAAATCGATTTACTGAATATTGAAAATTATTACTGTACCGACCATTATAGGTCTGATAATGGTTGGCAACCGACCTCCTCGGATAAAAAACTGTGTCGGTTGGTTGGTATTATCATCTAATTATTGACTTTTTTTATAATAATAATAAGATGTATTTAAACGTTTTTAAGAAGATATTCAAAATTTGAGGAAATTTATATTGCGAAAATCCTAACTTTAAATTAAGATTTTTTTTACTAAATTTCTATAATAAGTAACTATATAATGAAGAATATGAAATAAGTTAGTATAAAATAGAAACAGTAGTATATACGTAGAGGTTTATAAATGGGTTAAATACAGAAACACCCCTGTACTATGGAGTTTGTATCAAATACCCCCTGTACTACACATAAATACAAAAACCCCCCTTACATTACATTTTTTTCAAAATATGACGAAAATACCCCTACTCAAGCATATATATATATATATATATATATATATATATATATATATATATATATATATATATATATATATATAAGGGTTTGTTTGAGCCATTTTCAGTCAATTTTACGTGCGAAGTTTTAGTATTTATATTTTTTTCTCCAAAACATCTAATTGCTTATACTTTTTTTAATTTTATGATAAAAACCTTTTATTTTTGTCATTTGCAATCTTATGATTGTTGAGAATTTGAACTACCAGAAGAAATAAAATGTTTTATTGAGAAAGAAAAACTAAGTAATTTAATGTTTTGGAGAAAAAAATATAAATATCAAAATTTCCCAAGTAAAATTGACCGAAAATATTAAAAATACAGTGGAAAATGACTCAAACAAACCATTTAATTTATAGGCTAAGCAGGGGTATTCCAGTCATATTTTGAAAAAAATGTAATGTGAGGGGTGTTTTTGTATTTATGTGTAATAGAGGGGTATTTGATACAAACTCCATAGTACAGGGGTGTTTTTGTATGTAACCCTTTATAAATTTATATTTTGAGTTTTTTTAATTTTGGCTTCTTTTATATATTACTTTTATATATTACTTTAACTTGAGAATTTCAAGTGAATATTTGTAATAAAATTTTATTATTAAGAAAATCGTAGAGTAATATCAGCCAACCAACTTTTGAGTAAACTTGAAATTAACAACCAACCAATTTATATATGGGATAATTAAAATTACCAACTCTATTGTATGACTCGATTAATTACCAACTATCGGGCCGACAAGTGAGTCGAAAGTGGATCGATTGACCGATAAAACTGATTCATGCCAAGGTGCTACTCCAAATAATGGAAAATAAGAAGATTGAAAAAAAAAAAAAAAAAGCAAAAGTTCCAATAAATCAAGGAGAATAACAGGCAAAAGGGTAGTGATATACGCAGGCCAAATTAAACATTCAGGCACTTTTTTACCATGGTTTTTTACCTTTTTACCATAACTATTTACCTTTCTACATTTTAAATAAACACTTTATTAATATTTCATTTAATAAAAAAAAACATTTAAATAATGAAACGAAAAAAAAAAAATTTACTTGGTTCTGCTCGCGCAAAAATGCACGAGCATTTCAACAGTGCTCGTGTGAAATCAGGCGAGCACTGTTGAAATGCTCGTGCATTTTTGCGTGTGCAGAATAAATGCAGTTTATTAAATTTATTAAAAAAAAAAAAAAAAAAAAAAATTAAAATTAAGTTGCTCGCGTGGATTTACACGAGCGCAGTGGATGCGCTCGTGTAAATCCATGCGAGCAACTTAAAAGCCGGTTTTTTAAGCAATAAATTTATTAAAAAAAAAAAAAAAAAAAAATTAAAATTGAAACGCTCGCCCGATTTTACGCGAGCGAAGTGGATGCGCTCGCGTGAAATCGGGCGAGCGTTCCCAAGTATCGTTTTTTTTCGTTTTTTTTTTCGGATTCGTAATCTACATAACAAGAGGATCGTAAAAACGTAAAAATTACCTCCGATCTGTTGACGATTTGCACGGGCTTTGCGAACGAAAATCGAAAGGGTAGAGAGAGTTTTTTGAGTTTTTTACCTTTTGTTTTTTGAGAAATGGTAAAAAATGTGCCTGAATGTTTAATTTGCACCTGCACAAATCATTTCAGCAGGCAAAATCATGACATTTACATTTTCTTATGCGCACTAGCAAATTTAACCTTTTCCCATAATTTTTTATCAATGTAAAAAAAAAAAAAAAAAAGAAAATCAAAATTCATCTCCATGAATATCGAAGGGCAAAGGAGTGACGTAAGACCCATTAGTAATATTCCGGGTGCAAGAACCCATAACTGCGAAGCACCTGATAATCCGCAAAATTGAGCGCTTTCTCCATCCCCCCATAGAAGGAATCTCCCTCGTACGCCGAATGAGGCTCCCCCCTGCAAGGCTGAACCCCCCAGAAAGTGC